AAGAGCCAAAGGCGCTAACTGACGACAGGAGACTCTTCTCCGTGGTGCCACTGTGGTTCTGATTATTGGGATGTCGGATCAGATGGATCTCAGCAACTTCTCCAGCGACAAGAAGGCGTGGCCTGTGTATTTTAATATTGGGAACCTTCCGTCGACGAAGGGCAACAAACCCGGATCGATGGCAGTTGTCCTTCTCGCACTATTACCTATCCAACACAAGTTCTCAAAGTCGTCATCTGTGAATGAACTCTAGCAACAAATAAACACCGATACTTTACAGGGCATCTTCAAACTTTTGTTTGAACCCTTACAAGAAGTACCCCTGGAGGGTGTTCCAATCGACTGTGCAGATGGGAAAGTCCGGAGGTGCTTCCCTACTTTAGCAGCTTGGATTGCTGACCATATGGAAAACGTTGCACTGCCCGGAGTAAAATCCAATTCCTTTCCCAAATGTGAGGTACCTCTGCACATGTTGGGATGTTAGTTCCAGAAACAGTACTCTTCGAGAGACTATGCGACATACCACCGTCTTGAACACGAGAGTAGAGATCTCGCGGCGCGCCCGCAGTCCGTGGATGTCAACATTACCTTTGATGCTCTTTGTATCAAGATTGGGCAGAATGTCTTTCACGGGATTCAACGTGTTTCGGCGCCCGACCTGCACCAGCCTGATTTGCTACATACAGTCTATCTTGGACTATTCAACGATATGATGGAGTGGGTACAAGGGTTTCTCAAGAAACACGACCGACTGCAAGCATTTGACGATGCCTGGAAATCTTTACCACCACATCCAGGCTTCTTTGTCCTAAAAAAGGCTTATCGTGAGGTTACTCAGTAGCAGGGAAAGGAGATGAGGAACTTGGGGCGTTGTCTTTTGGCTGTTCTGGCAGTTGCGTTGAGACAGCCAGATACTGCGCAAATGCAGCCTTTCAAACGCGCCCTGGCCTGCGTCAGCTCGTTGCTTGATTTCAGTCTGATGGCACAATACTAAAGCCATACACCTGAGACTATAGACTACATGAAATAATATCTCAATCGGTTTCACGCGACGAAGGATGTCTTCCTTGAATTCCGGGTTTCTAAACGGACATGTGTGAAAGTTCAGAACCAGGGGAGGGAACTGCGAAGTCACAAAGTGCAGATTATTCAACCACATACGAAAGCTAGACGTCGTCAGATCCAGGACGAGGAGTGCGGCGTGGAGAACGACCAGCTCATAGATCTGATCTATATAGAATCACATTTCAACTTTATCAAGATGCATCTATTGGGCCACTTCCGCGAACACATATATCAGTTGGGCAACATTCCGATGTATTCTACCGAATTTGGTGAGCTGGCGCATAAAGAATAAATTAAAGATGGATGGCGACATTGAAATAAGAATGATGCCACACAGCAGATCCTGCGCAGCTACGGCCGCCACCATGCAATCCAAATGAGACTCCAGAACCTGGATTCCCTTCGAAGGCACGGAGCACACATCTCAGCCGAGGTAGGTGAACTTTTAGACACGGCGGGTCTTAATTCGGGGCACGCCACACGCCGTAGGATTCTCAATGGACATCGCGGGCATGTTGCGAGCCTGGATGATTTTTGCCGGGTCTTAGGCATCTCATGCGATAGCATGTGTCACAAACTGATTCGATAGAGCCGGCACAGTCTGACCACAGAACGCCAGCTTGCCATAGATCCAGTTGAACTTAAACTATACTCTTTTGAGCTACAAAAGCGACTTGAAATACGGGTCCTGGCCTTTCAGGAAACGGACGTTTATGACATTCACTGGGCACGATCTACCAGCGCTGAACTCTTCCGGAACCAGGCAAGTCATAATGATTGGGTTTGGGTATAAGCAGCGGGGGAGCAAATGTATGGTGCGCTACGTGGGCATCTCCCAGGGAAAATAATAGCGCTCTTCAAAATCCGCGACCACCGGCACACCGAGAGGGTGTACTGGCTAGCTGGTGTTCAGATGCTGAGCATCCTTAATGCAGGGTGCCCATCCGAGTTTCACGAGCTTGTCACCGTACAGCTAAGGCCAGATGCGTAAAGTTTTACAATAGTGGACATTGGGACGATCATAGGGCTGGCGCACCTGATCCCGGAGTCTGACAGGCGATGGTTTGTCAATAGTCGAATTGACTTGAGGACGTTCAATGAGATTTATTGAGTAGTTATGCAAGAATAGGGATTTTGTGGAGCGCGGTGCCGACTCAGGATTGCTGACGGAGCTAATCCGAGATATCCTAGTCACCACCTCGCAAGGGCAGGAGATCAAGGGACCAGGATAATCTGAATTGTATGCCGGGCCCGAGCGCCTGGCGGGTGAGTAACATAACGGGAAGTCCGGGCTAAGACGACGCCAGCAGGTCGTCCTAGCCCAGACTCCAAAACAGTGCATTTCTCTAGACAGGTAGCAGAACTTGAGAATAATAAAAGCCAGAGGGGCATAATTGAAAGTAATAGTAGTAGAGATTAAGACTACACCACGGAAGGAAAGGGTTAACTTAGAAATTAAAAGTCAGGAAGCCCGCCGGGTCGGGGGTTTCTCCACTCTGCCTTCCTGCCGGTCAGGCATCACGATGGTGGTGGGAACACAATTAGAACCAGATTCTGGGAGGTAACGAGGGACAGGAAGGCTGGGAGCAGGACGGAGTCCAGATGTCGGGAACCCAGGAATTAGGATCCAGACACGCCGGCGTGCGACTAGAGCGCTGTACGTGCAGAGAACGCACTAGACTAGACTAGATATGAGAGGATGAGAGCCGAGAGGCAGGGCGTAGAAACTAGAAAAGGTGCAGCAGCACAAGACGTCCAGATAGCGATCGAAACTGGGAGATTGCTTGAGACGCAGTCAGGATGGACGGAGGGGAGGGGTGTGACCGGACGCACCAGGGCGTGCCGACAGGACTCCTAGCGCACGGGATCAGGGGTGGAGTTGAGACGGAAATCTGGATGCCCAGGATGGGGCAGGGTGTTGCGTCAGGGATCCGGACGCCCAGGATGCGGCTGGGTGTCAAGCTCGATCCCAGGACCCACAGGACGCACAGGACGGGAAAGAAAGCGCAGGCGCGTCAGGCCGCAGCGCCCAGGTGTCAGACACAAGCGAATTTTTTTGCTGATGTTCCATAAGAGTCTTTTAAACTTCTCCAGTACAAATGATCGATTCCTTCATCTTAGAGGTTTAAGACTGAGTGAGTGGTCTCTCCTTGAGCCAACTCACTATTCTCCTTACTCTGACTAGAGTGATTACCTTTGTTGAGAGACTTATCAAGGTATCACTGACTTCGCAACTCAACTGTATCCACTTTAAGGACTTTTCACTAGGATCGGACTAATCAATGGTCTGGAAAAGTTCCTTAATCACAGATTGGCCTCTGGTTTGCTCTATACTATATGTGCACCTGACTATATACCCTGTCTTATCTATACGAGCACATCCTGATAACTCATTGGACTGTTGGTGATTTTGTCCCAACACCTTCTGTTCATATTTGAGATGGTTACTCTTGCTTAGCTCGTAGCTCCATGGTTATCTGTTCAATTGACTCCATTCTACCTTTCAGACATGGTCCGAGGTCCCCTCATATATATCTTACAAACAGTCTTTGGACAGCTGGACAGCAATGATATATATGGTATTATCAAGTATGCTTCATTCTAACTTATTTATAATGTTGGAACCACCAAGTCCAATACTACTATTACTGCATCCAGACTCATTGGGATGGCTGAGGAAGGTGTTGGCCATGAACCTTTTGTGGTTTTCAGGAGATCTGTATGTGGGGGAGGCCTGTACATTCATATGTGTAACCTCATGCTAACTCTGTCAGCTTTGGTCCAATTTACTCTATTTCTTTTAGAGAAGGTACCTAACCTTCCCATCTTGACCTCCTTATATATCCTGCCAACACCGTTCAGATGTAGGTTTCCCTAGCTCTATAACGTAGGGTTATTACATTATGAAAGCTTAATAGATATATTATTTATTGTGGTAATAATCACTAATGGGTAGTATTTCGTATTTGTTTTAAGTTCCTTTCATGCACTTCTAGCAGCTAAATTGAAAGGGGTTGCTTGATCAGGGGATTGTCACCTTCGCTACTGGAGAACTGATGACTCAGTAGTCAAAATAGTCAATGTTACAGCCTTGTTTTAAGGTGTCCAACACTTTAGCTAGTATTGCTCCGGCGGGACTTTGGTATCTTGTATAGGCAAAAACATCCGAGGCTGAGCGATTCCAGAATAGGGACTGACAGAGCAAACCGGCACCGTGAGTAGGAGTACCGTCCTAGTTGGAAGGTCGCTTAGGGTCTTTTGAAGTAATATCATAATATTCGTAGCTAACAATAGCTAACTACAAGTCATATCCCAAACCATGGTAACCAACTTGATGGCATTACGTCCAAGAGGTAAAGCCAACTCCACACCGGCCCAACGGCAGTATATCTGGGAATGTAGGACCTGCACAACTCCTAGGAAGACCACATCATTACCTAAACCATCCAGAAACAGGTCGACAGGCAGCCCCAAGCTGAAGCCCAAACCTGGGAGTCATGGCCATCCCCGGTCCTCCCTCCTCCACATGAGAAAACCAAAACAAAAGAAAACCAAATCAATTTATGGTGACACGGGCACGGTCAAAGAAACTAGAATGCTGGTTAATAAACCTAGTATGAGAAGTTTGTTTTTGCCAAGTATAAATAATAACATAGGATATTGTTTCTATTCTTTCATATTCATGTTATTATTTTTGCTTGGCAAAAGAAAACCCTTCATACTATCTCTATCAACCAGTATCACAGTTTTTGTGTGAGGGTTGATCCTGACTCTACGAGTAGTCTTTCGAAACCATACTTTACTCGCGTGCATATACCAGTAGTCTCACCCCTCTCCACAATTAACAATCTCTGGATCTATTCAACCATTATCCGACTCTCCTTCTCAACCCCTCGTCTTATCAAATTCGATTCGATAATTTCGCCTTATATACTATGGCCGTGGCTCCCAGGTTTGCCGCTCACGTCCTCGGCAGTGCTGCACATCCGGTTCATACCCTCGAGATCTGTGCGTAAACTTTCACCCCTCCAAACTCACCTCCATAGCAGAGCTAACGCGAGCCAAAAGACCTCGATTATGTTTGCCCGGTAAGCCCCCTCCAGCGCTCCATCATTGAGATCTGGAATCAGGATCGTGCTCATATCGTACCCTACCCTAGTTTTCCGCCAAGCTCTTCAATCGTGTTTACAACGACGTGAAACCAATTATCGACTCTAAATTTTCTAATAAAGTCCAGGTAAGCAAGCCTGCAAAACCCGAGCCCTGAGTTTATCCCTCGCCTGATATAGCGCTCCGGTATAAATATCTAAAGCTAATACTGGTATAATACCATGACAAGATCGTCTTCAGACAACAGGTCCAACCATGGCATCCTAGTTCCACTCTCAGTGAGTGATTCCCGAGGCGTGAGGAATAAAATAGAATAAAATAAAACACGCTTCGCCAATACCCTGTGAGATGGCGAAAGCTAATAAGTTGTGTCCCTAAAGCCCATGAGGCAGCACTCGCCGTAGAACGAGTCGATCCAAGCTCCTTTTGGAAGTACTCTGCTGTTCGCGACACTACCTTTCTCGAACCCAACATGGCCTCTAGTGAACCCTGCAACGCTAGCTCATATGCTAACCTCAGCCCTCCAGGCCCTCTTCGAAAACCAGGTTAACTTCTTTGATGTCAATGTCGTGAGTGAAACAAGAAATGCAGTATGTACAGTCCCCGAGCCCCGAGCCCGGATCCCTCCTTCCCCGCAACCTTCTCGGGCTAACAGTTGGCCGTCATGCTGGCAAAGATTTACAAGCGGCTCTCCGCCCTAGCTGCTCCCCTGGATGTCGACGAGCAACAAATCTACAAACTCCTGACAATCTCTGACAAGCCGATCGACGGCGCGTATAACACAGGCAACCAGGTCACGGGCGACTTGAAGTTGCACGTTAAAGCTGCGAGGCTGGTTGGTGTGCACGTTAGCCCTACCGTCATCTTTGACGGAATCGTGGATAATTCGGTTTCTTCCGCCTGGAGTGTTGCACAGTGGGAGGAGTGGCTAGCGAGGAATGTTGTTTGAGCGACCGTGGGATACTACCAACGTTCCGAGGTGTAACGGTCTGTAGCGGGTGGTCGAGGGTAGGCACTGATACTAGTGTGCTGGGATGCATGGCCCCGGTTCCGAATTGCTGGTAGCGTACAGCTCAATTGACGGGATAATGTTTTCGAGTTTAACATGCCCCTAAAAAGACTTTGATTTCCTGGACAGTATTCGTAAAGCCCACTCCGGTATACCCGTGTAAGCTACACACAGCGGGTGAAACATGTCTTTCTCCGTCGACTAACAGCAGACCCGCTAATGGAGAACATAAGGAAGCAAGTGGCGGTGCCGTAGCTGCACGATCTGCCGTACAAAGAGATGAAAACAACGTGAAATGGAAGGAGGAGAAGGAGTAGATTAACGCGACGAGCAAAGAGAGGCGGGCATGAAAAGAACCAAACGACAAAAACACCCTCTATCCCCCCTCCCCTCCCACACAAAGAAAAGTCCTTGTCACAACTATGAGAAAAACTGACTTTTCTGAAAACTCTCAATACTAATATCCCCCGGTTTTGTGTCCTTCATCAATTCCCCTGCGATTTCACTTGTCATTGTCTGTGTTCGACCTTCATCCCCCGCGGTGATCTGTTTGGCTGTACCCTCCTTTCGCGTGATAATCTCTAGATACGGGCTTGGTAGGTATCCAACTCGTGAATCTCTAGCGCGGCACTTCCACCACTGCGAGGGATTGCCCATAGGATCCGCCTTGCTCAGGACAGCAATCAAGTCACCCTTCTTGACCTCCAGCTCGGCCCCGTTATTCTGCTCGGGCGTAAAGTCGAACATGACACGACAAAATTCTAGCTTTGTAGGATCCATCTGCACCGCGATGTCGCCCTCTAGGATCGTGCCCGTAATCTTCTTCCGTTCCTCCTCACGACGGGCGAGAGATCGGATAAGTTTGCCCATCAAGTATGGCAAACCAAAGACGGCAAATACAAAGAACAAGAATGGCTTCTTGGATGGGCGGGAAGCGCCTTTCCGCCCACGACCTTGAAAGGCGGCGAAATTGGTAGCAGTCAACTCACCGGTTGACACCGGTAGTGGACGGCCAGTCACCTTTGCCACGGCAATACGTGCCCATCGCATCATTGTAAAAATACCTAATATTGACCCGAGGGTGTTTCGCAGGTTGCCAAATTGCTCGGCAACTTGAACCATTGCTATCATTCCAACAAATATCAGCACAACCACGTGGTAACACTACTCCGTCGCCCAAGCCGCTCAGACACCTACCGAAGAAAGAGGAATGGGTAGCCATATACGTCGACTCGAGCATCTGCGCGAAACCTCCAAATGCTCCAACAATGCTCTCGATCATTTGAAAAGTAGCAGCAGTACTGCTTTCCATCCCACGTGCGAAGCTATTCGGGTCATTCGGATCGCCGGGCATGCCTCCGAAGCCTCCGTATCCCCCGAAACCACCCATCCCACCCATCCCACCGTACATACTCCCACTGTAGCCACCGAATCGCGAGTACGGTGCCATTCCAGCTCCATAGGAGCCATATCCGCCCCCCAGGCCACCACCGAGGCCATATCCTGGTCTGTTGTAGGTGGAGTAAGCTCCTGCGGCGGCTGTAGCCCCCAGTCGGTTCGCGGTCATGGCACCCGCGAGGGCCGACGGTCGAGTAGGGAGCGACGGTGGTGCGGCGGGGTTAGCCCCTACCGCCGCCATTGCCGGTGCTATGGTGGCGCTGGTTGGAGCTGGTGAGGAGACAGAGGCGGCTGCTGGGGTAGACATCACGCTCGACGACGATCCGAGGGCTGGCAAGACAGAAGAGTAAGTGAAAGGCGGAGAAAAAAAATAACAATGTAGACCCCCGGAACGTAGATATCGTGGTGGAGATAGGGGCTTAGAAGGGAGGGAAGAAAACCTACAAGATTGTGGTGGGCCGTTAACTTCCCACGGCTTGGGGGGAGAAATCTTGGACATGATTTGGCAGTGGCGAGGTATGGGTGAAGCGAATGCTGCTGACGGATAGCCAAGGATTGGTCTTCGGGTCAGAGGACCACTAACACGTCGCTCCACACTAATTTCTGCCTGCAAGAACCGAGCAATGGGACCTGTGGGGCGGAAAAAAAAAGTTACCTGATGGAACAGGAGGGACCGACGAAAGGATGAAGGAGTGACAGGAAGAGAGACACCGGTATGAGAGCTATCATAAATAAATGAGCCTCGGGTAAGAGGGTTAGAGTAGAGAGAAGCGAGGATTGAGGGGTGAGCAAGGTTGCCTGCTCGATCGACAGAGGTTGAAATCCGGGCGGTTCGTTGGCCAAGGTGAAAGTCGAACCCGCGTTTAAGCTTGTGATTAGAGCTTCTCTGGAGTTCCAATTACGTGCAAACAGAAACTTTTAGGGTATCTGGTTGCAACACGGAACCTCCATCATATTATGGCCCTGACTATCCCTTAAACTAGTATGATAGGACAGTCAGTCCACATTGAAATGTCTAGCACTAACCTATTTGGGGAACTGTGAGTAAATCTACGCTGAATTTGTAGCTTCTATCATGGCCATACTGGACAGCACAGATTTTGTGGTGTTCTGAGCACTATACCAGTTGCAGAGCATGAGGTTTTTCCTATCACGATTACTCGAATAAGTTAGTGCTAGACATTTGAATCTGGACTGAATGTCTCACCAGTTGAAGGGATAGAGTATTGGGCAAAAACTCCAGTTTAGTATGAGGTGACATGTGTGGTCAAGAACAAAAAATAGTATCCTTTAAGTTATTATAATATGACCTGAATAAAGTTTACTGAAAAACAAGTAAAAACAAGTGTTTATAAGATAATAAAATGAAGAAAAATCCTAACCCAACTATACTGGAAAAGATTTATAACTAATATCTATTACCCACTCAATATAAAATAAATAAAATATACTAAAATTTTATGAAATAATACTAATCTGATCATCACATAATCTATCTAATTTGATTCTACTTTTTCTTTTATCTTAGTTCTTCATACTAGTATGGTTCCGGAAGCCTAAACTCTGTACTAACTTTCTAACAAAAAATGTAACGCTTTGGTATGTAACGCCAAGTGTAACACCTCAAATTTATTATGTAAATTTTAGGGCTTGCAACCTATTGCCCAAAGTTCAGCTAGGTAATCCAAAGTTACATAAGATTAACTATGAGCGAAGAAGAATGTTATATAAAAAATACATATTCTTCATATGGGTAGACCTTGTAAAGCATTTATGTTAATTAAGTCAAATGTGAATTGAAAAAAAAAAGGACTTTTATTTATTATATTTGTAAAGAAAACAAGTAAGATACTAGTATAATATCATACATCATACATGTAATGCAGAGTCATCTATCCTCCTATGAGAAGAGTAACGAGTAAATACATGCTTTTTAAAATCATCTGACCCATAGACAAGATTAGTCCTATAGGCATCCATCATTCTTAATACACGTTGATAGTATTTCAATATCAATTTCTTTGATACTTGAGCTAAAGCCTCTGGCACTATTCTTACTAGTGCAGGATAGGAGTACTCACAATTTGCTCTTGTATAAAGCTTAGCACTACCCCAAAAGTATTCAATAAAGTTTAACTCGCAGTGAAACGAAGGATTGAAGATGACTAAATGACCAGCTGCCTCCAATGTCTCTGGCAGTTCTCCTTTCTGAGCCTGAAAGTCAGGTTGCGAGGAAAGCAGAGCCCGAGCACAGCAATTAGCATTGCTAGCATACTTGCATAATGGATTTGGCTTTCGTTGTCCAGGAGCATCTCCCGGAATTGTGCACTGTGTTAACAGTTTGCCATTTGGTGGCCAAAGACTCCTCTCTTGCAATACAAGTCTCAATCCTTTTAATTTCCCATCAGGAAGGACCATTTTCTGCTGAATAAGAGTAGTTAGGTTATCAGACTTGGTGTAATATCCATCTCGCATCGGTAGTGTATTTTTACCCCCAGGCGTAAGATTTATATTGCCAGATCGTAAGGCATCAGAAGAATACTTTTGATGATTTTTTGCATTGTCAAAGGCAAAGAGACCTTGACATCCAGGAAATGATCTCTCGAATGCTGGTATAACCATTTCTGTAAGTTGCTTCCTCATCAACTCTCCAGTCCACCAGATATCCCCACCACACTTGAGAGTTTCACTTGCTTCGCTATCTCCCAATCCGCCAATTGCTGTCAAATAGTCTGACACATGCAATCCTTGTCCACGACCTTTCTTACGAATAGGTGCTTGGTCTTCGTGGACCCATATCTTCTTTCGGCCATCATTTGAGTTGAAGGTAGACTCATCGTGGGTTACAAAGACAAGTGGTTTGACTCCTTCTCCATACTCCTTTGGAATCACTTCCAGGTTTTCATCCCATTCCATCATTCGAGATTTGTATGCTGCCATACGAGGAAGGAATACAGTATTTCTGTATTCTTTAACCTTTTCTCTCTCATGACTATCTTTGTATATTCCTTTGCGTACTTCTTTCCAGTTCCACTCAAGCTTGAGAAGCTATGTACGAGCTGCTCTACTAGACAAAGCATTCTTAATTCTCCGGTGAATGCCATCGATGGATATCATCGGGAGCCGTTCCTCATTCTGTCTAATTTCTATGCTATAGGTTGTTGTCCAGTAATTGGTAATTGCCCTTGCTAGACCAGCAGAATCCATTCCTATTGTGGTAATCATTAATATAAGTTAGAATCAACTTAATATTCTTATGAAAAGTAATAATATAAGGGAGACCTACCTTCACCTGCAACAGAGATATACTCTCTAATTGCTAACATGGTGCCCTCATCTGATTGCCAACTAGCTGCCTTAATATGACACCACTGTTTGGGAACTGGTAGCTTGCCGTAAGGGATATAGATAACCTCTTGCTGAAGAATACGATTGACCACTGCTCCTCCCCATCCGCCAGCCTGTGCCACCAAGAGAGCAAGTTCCTTCTGGGTCTTCTGCTTCGTTATTGGGTTGGTTGTAGGTTGATTCAACTCTACTCTCCGCCATTCCATATGCTCCTTGAGCTGTAACTTGATAAAAGCATACAGCTGAACATTCCAATCTAGTTGAAGACCTTTACCACCAGCTGCAGGATTTCGGCCCAACGATCGAATTTGGGACTTTAATCTCCAAAATGCAGCTCCTAGGATTTCCTCCTTAAGGTCAGAAGTTTCACCAGTCAAACAAGGCCAGCTCCTATAAGCTCTTCTCCGTAATTCATGAACCACTGCTGGTGCTAACACATCATTTCCATCCTCATCAATCCCAATTGGGAGATGGCTCTCAATACTTCTTAGTGGTGTAAATGGTTAGTTAAGGTAGATTTGTCTTTTCTTTGCATAACAGCGACGGGCCCGCTCTTTTCCATTCAATAGAACCTTTCTCTGATAGCCCAAACGATTGCGGACTTGTTGCCTGTATCTTCTCATTCTCTCACTCGATTTGCTAGATGAAGTTGCCTGTAACTGTATGGCAATTGGCAAAGCAGGAGGAGGTTCACTGGCTGGCTGCTGTTTCCGAATACGATATTGCCGAACTCGCACCTTAACTGGAATTGCTGGGAGACTAGGCCCATAAACCTTCGGATTGGTTTTCTCTCGATACTTTCTAACACGTTCTCCAGTGGCTGCTCTCTTACGCTCCTTGCGTTGAATTTCCTCTGCTGTTTCTGCCTCCATTTCCTTTACTATTTCAATTAGAAATCATTATTGAAGATAGGATACTAGAATAGAAATAGTGGGCACATTAAGTTACCAAGTCGTTTATTCAATAGTCAAATCAACTTTTAAGGCAAATGGTTAGATGGATTTTGTTAACACTTTCGTAACTTGAATGTTGGAGTATGCGAAAGGATGCCAGTGGTTGGCCGGTAAGTTGGTTGAAAGTATGAAAGCAAGCTTGTACAAACAGGAAAAACTTTTATTATTAAAACTTTTTAATGAGGCTCTTTCTATAACAGCATCCATGAATTGTTACTCATATTTCTATATCTTATCTAATTACAAATGGTGGAGGGTTAGGGTACACTATTTTGGGGGTGTTACACTTGGCGTTACATACCAAAGCGTCACACTTTTTGTTAGAAAGTTAGTACAGAGTTTAGGCTTCCGGAACCATACCAAGGTTGCTACTACGGTACTCCAACCACTAAAAATTTACTTACTGAGTTGTGTAGTACTGTTAAGAATCCTACCGAGTAGGACCTAGCGACAGGTAATGATACTTCTCTGTAAGGTGATAGCTCTCAGGCCTACGCCTACGCGATCCTGATAGTCCAGTCCTTTGACTATGAACGTGTTCACGCCTATCTTCCTATTCTTCTTAGTCCTCGATTAGGACTTAGTCGTTCGACATGGGAGGAGAAATAGTTTTCTCGTTTGAGAGGAAAGACACTTCTTGGGTTTCTTAAGATAAATCTTAAAGCGCGTAAAGGTAGGTTTTATTGATAATAACTTAAAGGTAGGAAATAAACAAGAAGAACATGTGAAGAGCTAATACTTGGTGTCCTAGTGACCCCTTTATATAGTAGCTCTTCACCTGGCGTGACTCATACCTCCCGTCACGCGAACCCTGTGACTCTTAATCCTGAGTCATATAAAATCCATCAGACGTCTTTTATGAGTCGCTGCTCAACATGCCTAAACCAATCAAAACATAATAATCAAGTCAGGTGTGCAACTCGCGTCATCTGAGTAACACCTATGACTCATAAGTATGAGTCATGTGCTAAAATCATAACATCGTGTGACTCACAACTGTGAGTCACGAACAGGTAAACATAATAACCTATGGCGCACTAGTGTGCGTCATGTGAAATCCCCACATACCTATAACTCGGAAATCCGAGCTATGTGAAATCTGCCTTGCTTAGTCACAGTTTGTGACAGGTACACTCATCCTACAGGTCCAACAGCTTAATGCAACCTTGTAGTTCCATGTAACTTTGTGGCTCTATGC